TACCCTACACCACAAGGTGGTCAGGGTATTATGTCTTTGTGCATTTGTTTGTAACAGGCAAAAGGAAACGAGATAGACCCATAGTTCCTTTTGATGATCTGCATAGAATCACATTCTGAATCGATTTATGCATGTCCGTCCGTCCGTCTGTCCATGTATTTTTGTAAACAAAGTACAGGTCGCATTTATTGCCCGATCCAGATGAAGTTTTGCACAGATCATTTGTTTGGCCCAAAGACGAACCCTATTGAAATTGGAGATAATCAGTTAAAATTTAGATATAGCTCCCATATATATCTTCGTCCGATTTGCCTTTTATTGTGCACCAAACGTGTAATAATAGTTCGAATAGTATGGAATTTTGCACGTACGATTGGACCTGAAAATAAGTATGCCAAATTTGATCGAAATCGGTTCAGATATAGCTATAGCTCCCATATATATTGTTCATCCGATTTGTTATTTTTGTCCACCGCCGCCGTAATAGGCACTATGCAACAACAATATTTGGGGAAATATATCAAATACAGCTCAGAAATACATTGGCTAAATTTTATCGAGATCGGTTCAGATTTGGATATAGCTCCCATATATAACTTCGTCCGATTTACCTTTTATTGTGCACCAAACGTCTAATATTTGTCCAAATGGGATGGAATTTAGCACTTACGACCGAATTGAGTCTAGAAGCTAGTATGCCAAATTTGGTGAAGATCGGTTCAGATATAGCTATAGCTTCCATATATATTATTCATCCGATTTGTTATATTTGTTACCCACAACCGTAATATGCACTCCGTAACAACTATATTCAGGGAAACATATCAAATACAGCTCAGAAATATCTTTGCCAAATTTTATCGAGATCGGTTCAGATTTGGATATATCACCCATATATATCTTTATCCGATTTCAAATTAATTGTGCTCCAAATGGGCAATACATGTCCGAATTAAAAAGGTACAAATGCTTCGGCATATTTAGTCCTTTGAACTTTAAATTATAATTATAGTCATAGCGTGTATGATTGAATTCTCCGGTAAAAACTTTTTATTGTTATGTGGAGCTCTACTAAATTAGCAAAGTGGTGTAGGGTATCATAAAGTCGTCCCCGCCGGACTTTAATGCTTTCTTTACTGGTTTTAAGATGTAAACAGAATTTTTAACGGATTATATTTTTTTTGAAAATTGCCAAATTCGTTTCCAATGGTGGGGGTGTTCAAAGTTCGACCAGGTCATAATTTCTGATTTTCTTAAATATACCTTGCCTCGATTCCTTATTCACAGATTGCATCGATACCGTATTCAAAGATTTTCAATAGTTCGTCCAAAGGTTGAAAGTTAATCGTCAAAAGCTTGTCAATACCCTGTAGATTACTCGCCAATAGCTACTCGATGGCTCGCATGTAGCTCGTTAATAACAAGTCAATACATCGCGATTGCTCAACAAAAACTCGTTAATAATTTGACAGAGAGAGCGAGGAAAGTTGAGAACTTTGATAACCGGACGTCGATAGTTCAGAAATTTAAATTTGCGATAAATTCAAAAATCCTCCAAAATACTGCAAAATACTGCAATTTAATCAAGCTTCGTCGACCTAGTTAAGCATCTTTAATCGACAACAAATTTCCAACTACTATTTCCAGCCAACTAACCGACCAAAGATTTGTGCGAACGACTAATTGTGTCAATGCTCAATAAATGTATTATTAGCCAAGATCCTTTGTTGACTTAACTGCAATGAAAGGAATTGCATATCCTCTTCGTAATTATCCTGTACACAAATCCTCTCAACGCAGACAGACACACACGCACACTAACACACACAATGCCATAATGCCACTAAGCGATTCCGAAGAATGAAAGAAGCAATTGTCTGTGCATCTCTCGACTAATAATAATGCCAAGGATTAACTGCGTAATAAGGCAATTCCTTGTTGCCATTTGCCGCATCGACTGCAGTCAGCATCTCTTTGTTAACAAATCCTCTAGTTATGATTACATCGATACGAACATCGGATTATTGCATTTAAATTAGCAGCATTATGAGAACAAAAAAGAGTATGAAACGAGTTTTATAAGTGTGCCGGTTGGGTGAGTGATACAAAAGCCGAAACAGAGAACCGTGTAGCACTTAAAGCCGATTGCTGTGATAGGCAATGAATTGTATGAAGGAAGCTAGTTAGAAAATATGTATGGTGTAAACAGCAGAAAAAACAAGTAAAAAAGTATCGGTCGGTTATGCCGACAGATGTATACCCACAGCCAATGCTCGATTATTTAAAAATATTTTGACCTTTGTTATGAATTTTTTAACTCTTGACCCTCTATGGAGTGGGTTTTGAAAGAATGGGTCAATATTTTTCATTTCATATCGGACCTAAATAAATATGATATAAATATTATTATAGATATATAAGAAAATGGAACATTTGTATCCAATTTATGTGAAATCTTAAATTCCATATTCATCTCAGGATTCCGACTGAGAGACATATATTTAGATATAGCAAGTTGTAAAGAATCGCTGAGTTGTTTCGCAATTTATGACAGATAAAAGAAGTGAAAATTGTGTCCCTTTGTAGGTGAAGTACAAGAAGGAGTTCGCAGATACATATCATCTTCACAACGGATCTTGTGTGAAATTTGAAGAGAGCTGGATGCTTGTTTCGCTTTCTTCGGGCGTTTTATTTTTCAAAATCTTGAACCCTTTGGGGGGGAGGTACCAGAAGAAATTGTAATTTCTCTACCATCTTTTTAACAGATCTGGTACTGATGGAAATATTGAGATAAAACAAATCTGAATGGAATCGGATGTTAACATCACGTTTTATGAGCTTCATGGTTACTTAAAATTTGACGCTTTGTGGGAGAGGTACCAGAAGGAGTGGACCGATATATCCCATCTTCACAGCTGATCTTGTGTTAGTACAAATAATGGGATGTGTGAAACATGAAGAGAAGCGAATGCTTATTTCGGATTTTTTAAGCATTTTTGTTAGACAAAATTTTGACTCTTTGTGGGGGAGGTACTTGATTTTCGCCCCTGACATAGGACTAAAGCAAATATAAGGATTCGCAAAGTTGGGGTAAATTTTTTTTGAATTTTTGTGGGGAGGTACCAGAAGGAGTGAACCGATATTGCTCATCTCCGAACTCGGTCTAAGTTTGAAAATAATATTATGATGTATTATGTTTAGAGCAAATCTGATACTCCTTTCGAGAGCTATTGTGCGCACAAGCTAGACAAATTGACTACAAATGTTGTGAAACGGATTTACTCCAAAGAGACATAGGTTCTAAAACCGTTATTTCGATGAGGCGCGTTTTGGCCTCTCTACCCATATGGCTGAGGGTATAATAATAACCTCTGTAATATTCTCTTGGATGATGATAGGAAATTCATTCTTTGGATAGGAAATTCACAGGCATTTGAAATATAAAGCAAAGGCCGCCAAGATGCTTCATCTGGTATAGGATGCATTAGGTATAGAAGATTGCCGAAACTCGTGAGAAGTGTAATCATGCATAGTTGAAAACAATTAAAAATGCTGTAAGTTCGGCCGGGCCGAAATTTGAATACCCTCCACCATGTGGAACGAATTTGGCACTTCTCAAAAACAATAAAATCCGTTACAAATTCTGGTAAAATCTTAAAAAAATCCGAATTTAGCTGTTATATTAGGGTCTATACGACGACATGGATCTACAAAGGTAACATTTGTCATAAGCCATTACAATATTCAAATGTGAAACTTAAATAAAATCGTTAATAATGTAGATAAAATCATCAAAATACCGAATATAGGGAGGTACCATGGGGTTTCTGAAACGAGGACCTGCAAAGACAATTTTCTGGCATAGGCTGTAGTATCCATTACGAACATCAAATAGCAAATTTGAATAATTCCGGTAAATAATGTCGGTAAAATCATCACAATACAGAATATCGGGGGGGGGGGGGGGGGGGGGGTACCGTTATATGGGGGCTATTCGAAGACGTGGACCTGAACAGATAATTTTCTGTCTTAGGCTGTAGTATCCATTACGAACTTTAAATATCAAATTTGAAATAGTTTCGGTTTAAATAATGTCGCTAAAATCGTGAAAATACCGAATATCTGGAGATACCGTTATATAAGGGCTATGCGAAGACGTGGACCTGCACAGACAATCTCCTGTCTTAAGCTGTATCATTTATTTCGAACTTCAAATACAAAATTTTAAACAATTCCGGTGAATAATGTCGCTAAAATCATCAAAATACAAAATATCGGAAGTTACCGTTATATGGGAGCAATACTAAAACGTGGACCTACATGGCTCATTTTCAATGCCAAAAGTCCTGCAGACATTAAATACATTTGAGTGAAATTTTATCAATTTACTTCAATTCGTTCGGAAGCTGGAGTGATTTCCACAGACGGACGGACATCGCTAAATCGACACAGAATTTTATGCTGATCAAGAATATATATATACTTTGTGGGGTCTAAAATGTGTATTTCGAGATGTTACAAACGGGATGACAAACTTAATATACCCTCCATACTATGGTGGAGGGTATAAAAAAGAACTATTGACCTGTTCTGGCAGCGCTATTTCCATGAAGTTGTTATGTACCGCCTGATGGACCTGGGCGTTATGTTTTTATGGACCGCCTAACTTAGACGCCATATTGTTACGTGCCGCTCGAAGCGGTAAATGGTGGGATTTCGACAGGCTCAGGCGAGGCATATTTACGTCAGGGGGGGTTCTCAACCCTTCCACCATCAGCCCTGAATTTATTTGGATCGACGGTTTTTTCAATTAAAATATATGATTATAAGTAAATAGTTGTGGATTTTTTTTAACACTTAATAATTATTAGTATCTACTACATAAATTAAAACTACAAGTTAGACAAACAATAAATACACAATTACAAAATACACAAAAATATAAATTTAACTAAAATTTTTAAAACTATTATAAATTAATAATAAAATAGACACAAATTTAAGATGGTTATTTAAAACAAAACTGGGTTACAGATAAAACACAAATGACACATATGAGAAGGCCTAGTGTGTATTTTCAGTAACTGATGGATATGGTGTGTGGCTATAATTGCTTTGAAATCAAACAATACTTTAACTTAAGTGTCCTAAAAAGGTTGTCATGGCGTACTGGCAGACTGAACTTAAACAAATATTTATTTAACACGAATATAACAGGGTAACACCACGGCATTTTTCTTCAAATTTGACGAAAAAAGACAACATGTAAAGAGTACTTATTATGCAATACAGTCCGTGACAATTATCGTCACTGCAGATATTGCACTTTTCCCCTAAATGTTAACCTTATTCTATTGTAACTATTCTAATAAAAATAAATAACGACAACATAAAAACACAGGTCATTAACACAATACATTCTTTGTTACAATTAACGAACAAGAGCTATTGCACTAGACCCTAACTTATGGAACCATATATCCTAATTTTCTAATTGTCTAAACTAAATATTGCACAGTTAACACAAATTTACAAAAAACAAGTGGATACAATATTCGTTAGCACTTAGAAAACGCGATATATAGCTATATTCTATTGGTCCCTATGGTTTATTGCTTTGTGCTGAGGTTTTATTGCACCAAATAAATTTAAAATGTCCTTGCCACAATAATGTTTAGGCACGCTGTTATTGCACTAAAAAATTTTGTACGCAGGACAATAATTTTTCTGTTGGGCGCCATATTGTTATGTACCACCTGATGGAGCTGGGCGTTATGTTTTTATGGACCGCCTAACTTAGACGCCATATTGTTACGTGCCGCTCGAAGCGGTAAATGGTGGGATTTCGACAGGCTCAGGCGAGGCATATTTACGTCAGGGGGGTTCTCAACCCTTCCACCATCAGCCCTAGGGGTCAAACAATCAAAAAGGGAGGTACTTGAAACAAAAAAAAAAAAAACAAATAAAACAACCAAAGAAAACGACAAACACTACGTACGACCATGACAAGGGAACTTGGTGTTTTAGTTCCCACACTTTGCCCGCCCGTCCTTGACCCTTTGATCCTGTATAAATAAGTAGTAATTTAAAGGGCCCCAAAATCCACTAACACCTACCACTCAGTTACATACAGACTAGGTCCCTCTCTCACAAAGAAACACTTAATAGTTCATATTACAAAACATCAATCACACATAAAAACAATTTATTCTCATATCTGTCTTAATTCTAACGATTAAATTTACACAAAACAAAAATTTTCACAAATTCCTAACACCTCCAATTATTGTGGGTCATTGCTCAGGCAACCACCAAATAATGTTAGGACTAACGGCCCAAATCTGGCCGATAAACTAAATCTTATAAATTCCCTAAAAGAGCTCTCTTAGTAATTTTTAATGGACATTACCATACAGTCCACACAAACATTTAATTAGTCCTACTTAACTGGGGTAACCCTACACTCACGTTTTCTTCCTAGGTGTTAAAAATCCTCACAAATCGATAAATAAAGCTTATGTACTAACTTATAAATTAGGGACGTTCACACTTATACTAAATTTAAAACATAGATACAATTTGATTCAATCTGTTCGTCGCTGTTGTTTAATTTTTGTTGTGTTTTATTCTTTTGTTATTTTCAAAATATATTAAAGTAATGCCTTTTTTTTGTTAATTTTTAGATGTCTTCAACTAGCGCTTCATGAGGGCGTTTGGCGCTATTTTCGTGCCATTGGAGGCAAATGCTAATTTTAATGGAGAATCACGGCTCTTATGGTATGTATAGAAATGTTACCTTATATCGCCGGTACTTATCAACTTTCTTCTCCTTTTTAGACAACAGACATCACAAGGCAATCAGACACGCACGGGATCAATTTTCAACATACAAGTTTGGCTGCTGGTTTCGGGCCGATTTTTTTCCAAAAATATGGATTGACCACCAAAATTGCTGACCACCTCCAGGAAGATATCTGGAGGGGCCAATATTTCCAGAACAGGGTTAACGTTGGCGCGATCCCTGAACACAATACAGATTTTAACACAATACACATTATAACATAATTTGCATTTAACTTACTTATAGTTATTTCGCACGAACACATATATTAAAACACCACTGAACACAATAAAACAACCACAATTTGTATTACTTAAAACAATTATAATTTTAACTTTGCGGCTGAAACAATGGTACTCCTTCACAACAGACAACAAAACGACTTTAACGACATTTTCCCCGCTCTGCCTTTTTATAGGGACGAAAAGCAAGCTGATTTTCCCTCTTTTCTCAAATTTTCCCGGATTTTTCCTTTTTTATCATATTATTCTTTAAACGCACCTACGTATCCCTACTATTCTCCACTCCAGAGTTGTATTTCCCTACTCAAGCATAATTACATGTGGCAACGCTGGGATTTTGCATATGAGCCGGCCACCTCGCGTATCCGGTTCCCTTTCTACTTGCCGGCAGCAATGGACGGGGACTTGCTGCTGGTAATTAATTTTTTATAAACCAAAACAGAAAATATTTTCATGGGCCACCCGCAACAAAGTTATTATCTAGGAAACAAGGGAAAAGTTCATGATTCACTCCAATAACACCAGGTTATTGTTAGCTATTATTCCATATATATGTCATGAGCCACTAGAGTCAAGATCCGATGAGATAGGACTACACTGAACAATATCATCCCATAACAAGTTTGAATCATTCGCCTCTGGCTCGATCCTTTCGCAGATTGTCACATACATAACAATATCTAATATCGCAAAAGCCTTTCGCTTTGTTCCGACGACCTTCGCCATTGATTTTGTTTACAAATCGAATACGACCTCCAAAATATTATTATCCGCTTGAATGCCAACGACAAATTGTGTTTATCCTTGATAATGATTATGGATACACGTCCTATCCCCACCTACAGTTATCTTTTGTTTTTGGATGCATTGTTGGCGTCCATCAATCTGCCATGGAACTGCAAATGTTCAAATATTATGTGCCAGCGGATGTTTGCATAGAAATCAGGAAATGTAACATTAAAAGTTTTGTGTCAGTGTGTTGATGTGTGAGTGTGTGTGTGTGTCTGTTTATCAGGATATGCATACATTTGTATTTCGAATAAAGCGGAAGCCAAAGCGGAGGGAGAGGAGGTGGTTGGTTGGTTGGTTGTGTCTACCCAAATGACAAATGCAATTGGATTGGTATTTGGAAATGTGTACAAAATTGAAAACCAAACTCTCATGTTCTCCTCTCTCTTCCTCTCCCTCACCTCACCTCTCTTCTCTGTCACCCACCCTCTGTGCTTTCTGTGATATTAATTCCATTTCACCAGATTGACAGCAAATGCTTTTGAGCCTCACATTCATGCATTCTTTCATTCGTTCGTTCATTCATTCGCTCATTCATTTATAGCTGACAAGTCGGATAAGTTCGATATGGATTGCATGCCTTGTGTCGGATGATATAGAGGGAGAACTGGGGAGTCATGATGCATTTCATTGTAGAATCTTTGACGCTTGAGTGAAATTATCGTTTGTTTATAATATGTCGATATATGTGTATTGGTTGCATGTGTGTGTGTGGGTGTGTGTGTGTGTGAACACGTGCACCTTGTGTATCCAATATTAATTAATCTCAAAAATATGCCAATCTAATGAAATGTTTGTCCGATCAATGTTGAATCTCTGATGGATTTTTGCTAAAAGGATATTTTCTGGGAAAACATAATTAATGGACAACTTGTTACTTGACTCCTGATCGGAATTGATGGGAATTTCGATTGGACACATTCGAAAACATGACATTATTATTAGCAGGTGTATTTTGATAACATGTGAGATTTGAAAATAATTTAGATATATTTGCAAATACTCAGGATTTTGCAAAAAGCATACAATTTAACTTGAAAATGGGGGAGCCATAAGGTACCTCAAAATTTGGGATTCTGGGATGAGATAATGCCTAGAACAATAGAGGCAATCTCTAGTCAACATCACAATGAGGCCTACTTTTTAGCAAACTTACCCAATGCATGAAACTGATTAGGAAACCAGCAAGGAAAGAAAGAGACGGGCAGCTGAGAGCAAAAACCTAAGCTTTTCGATTTTTACCCTCAACAAATAAGTCGATACTCGGTCGATCGATATTACGCCAGTGAAAGTGGAATTATATTTTTTTTTCTAAATTAAGTTTTTGTCGATCTTTTTATTCAACTATATAACTTACAAGTAAAAGAGCAGCCAAGTTCGACCGGGCCGAACTTTTAATACCCTCCATCATTTGGAAGGAACTTGAAAAATTAAAAAAAAAAAACGAAATCTAACAAACCATTATATGGGGACTATACGAAGACGTTGACCTGTAGTGCCCATTACGAACTTAAAATACGAAATTTGAAACAGTTCCAATGAATAATGTCGCTGAAATCATGAAAATATCGAATATCTGGAGGTACGGTTATATGGGGGCTATAAGAAGACTTGGACCTGCATATGAAAATTTTTGTCATAGCCTGTAGTGCCCATTACGATCTTGAAATACGAAATTTGAAATACATCCGGTAAATAATGTCGCTGAAATCATCAAAATACTGAATATCGGGAGGTACCGTTATGTGGACTATACGAAGACGTGGACCTGCACGGACAGTTTTTTGTCTTAGGCTGTAGTACCCATTACGAACTTCAAATACGAAATTTGAAATAATTCCGGTAAATAATGGAATAACAAAGCTAATATACCCTCCATAGAATGGTGAAGGGTATGAAAAGGGTACATATCATTTGATATGGCCAAAACGTGTCTCATCGAAAAACGATTTTAGACCTTAGGTTCCTTTGGACCAAAACCGTTTCAGGATATTTAGAATCGATCTAGGGGGTCCCTCCGTCTGTCTGTCAGTCTGTCTTGCGGGCGCGCACAATAACTCTAGAAGGAAGTATTAGATTGGTGCATCGTAATATTATTGTCAAATTTAGATCGAGTTCGGAGATGGGTAATGTCGATCTACTCGGTATACGGTCAGTGCTGTTTCAAGTTCGAAAATGGACATAAATGGATTATTTCTGGATATTTCTATCAACATAAGATCAGGTGTGAAGATGGGATAAATCGACCACACCTTCTGGAACTTCCCCACAACTGTTCAATATTTTGAATAATTATAGCTCCCATAAAATGCGAAATAAGGATCTGATTCTTTTCAAATTTCATACATTGCTATAAATTCCTATACATTTACTGACGCAAGGTCAACAACTTGCGTGAAGATGTGACATATCCTTCTGGTACCCTCCATACGAAGCGGTCAACATTTCGAATAATCCTGAAGCTCCTAAAACCCCAAATGAGCATCTGATTAATATTAAACTTAGCACTCCTCAGTATTTTACTCAACCCAATATCCGGTGTGGAGCTGTATTATGTCGCATCACTCCTTCTCGTACCAAAGGATCAAAATTTTAAATAATTATATCTCTTATAAAATGCGAAATCATCCATCCGATTCTCTTCAAATTTCACACATCCCAGTACTTTTGATAACTTCAGATCTGGTTTGAAGGTGATAGATAATTTGATATCTGGTACCTCCCTCACAAAGCGTCACAATTTTAACAACTTATATCTTCCATAACTTGCAAAACAAGTCAGCGATTCTTTACAATTAAATATTTCTCTCAACTAGAAACCTGAGATGAATATGGAATTTCTGATTTCGCCAAAAATTGGATATAAATGTTCGACTTTCTTGTAATATTTTTATCTGTAATAGATGAAGTATGAAAATGTAATGCTTCGGTCGATTTTATTTGGTACCTCACGCACATTTCAACATTCTACACAAATTTGAATATCGCAATATTCCATTCGTCCAAAAAGTGCAAGAACTTACACCGCTTCAGAAAAAAAAATAGACTCAAACGAGCTAAAGAGTTGCTTCGCTTGGCCGAAAGTGGTGAACTGCCGAATTTGGTTTTCTCCGATGAGAAAACATTCGATGTCCAGTGGTTTTCAGCTGAAAATGTGCACTTTCGGTTGGCCCCCAGAACAAAAGCGCCGACCATGCTGATGGTGTGGGCCGCCATAACAACCGATGGTCGCTCTCCGCTCGTATTTTTCGACCGTGGCATAAAAATAAATGCCGAAAATTATCGCGAAAATATTCTAATAGAACTCAGCACCATCGCACTCAGCACGCGCCACCCAAGAATGGTTACAAAATGAGGTTCCTCGCTTCATTTCAAGGCCACCAAAATCTCCGGATACCAATCCGTTGGACTATTGTGTCTGGAGTATTTTGGAAAGCAAGGTTGGAACTAAAAAATACCAAAGTGTCGATCACCTCAAACAAGCGCTTCGCCTGGAATGAGCCAAAATGCAGCAAAGCAACATTCGGGCAGCGTGTGACGATTTCATTGACCGTTTGAAGGCCATAATTCGTGCCTAAGGTGACCAATTTGAACAAATCTAAACTTATTCCGACATTTTTTGCTTTCAATCAATTAAATTAAAAAAAAAAAAATAAAAAATTAATGCGTTTGACTTTGTTGCTGTTTTTTTTATCTCACCATGTGTATGAGAGCTATAGTTATATCTGAACCGATTTTTACCAAATTAAATGTACTTGCTTCTATACTGAATTCGGTCAGATGTGTCGAAATTCATGTTATTTGGACTGATATTGGCCATTTGGTGCACAAATAACACACAATCGGTTGCAGATATACGAGGGAGTTATATCTAAATTTTAACCGTTTCTTACTAATTTCAATAGGGTTCTTCCTTTGGTCAAACAAATATTGTTTGGAAATTGCATAATGCATAAATCGACTCAGAAAGAGATTTTATCAAGATCCCCAATATTGGGATATGTGTATCTTGAAGAGAATCGGAGGTTTATTTAACATTTTATGAGCATTTTGTCATTTAAAGTTCTGATCCCTTTGTGGGGGAGTGGTCCGATATCTACCATCGTCACAACAGATCTTGTATGGGTAGAAATATTGAGATGTGTGAAATTTGAATGCGAAGAATTTCACATTTTATGAGCGTTTCGGTTATTCAAAATGTTAACCTTTGTGGTGAGGTATCAGAAGGAGTAAACCGATATATTCCATCTTCACACCAGATCTTGTGTTGATAGTAATATTGAGATACACCGAGTTTGAAAGGTATTTGATGCTAATTTTGCGTTTCTTGACTTAGATATTGAATTAGTAAAAATAATGGGATGTGTGAAATATGAAGAGAACCGGATGCTTATTTCGTATTTTATGATTGTTTTGGTTATTCAAAACTTTGACCATTTGTGTGGGAGGTACCAGAAAGAATAGTCCGATCTGTACCATCTTTATAACAGATCTTGAGTTGATGGAAATATTGAGATGTACCAAGTCTGAATGGAATCAGATGTTAATTTCGCGTTTTATAATCTTCATGGGTATTCAAAATTCTGACCCGTTGTGGGAAAGGTACCAGAAGAAATGGACCAACATATTTCATCTTATCACCAGACCTTGGGTTAATAAAAATATTGGGATGGGTGTAATTTGAAGACAATCGGACTCATATACAGGGTTGTATATATATATTCGACGGCCTCATCTGGCAACGCCATAACTTTTGACAGAGATGTCACATCGCTTAATGACATACCGCGTTTGAAGCGTCAGTCCAAGCAGATTTTTACCATGAACCAATACGCGCCACGCGAGCGCTCTGAAATTTACATTCAACAGAAGAAGTCAATTGTGAAAACTCAACGTTCTTTTAAAACATTAAAAAATGTGAGAAGTGCGCCTTTTAAGAACACCATTAAGCGTTTATACGAAAAATTTTCGACTGGTAAGGCTCTTTCTAATCCGAGGAGGCCATATAAAAGTCGACCAAGGCGATCGGCCGAGAGGTTCCCAAAAACGCCGTTCTCAGCAGTTGGGCATGGCTCGGTCCACTTTACAACGGATTATTTGCATTGATTTGCATTTGTTCCTTGACGCAAAGAATGTTGCCTGCGGACAAGCCTCGTCGATTGGAATGGGCCCAAAGAGTCATGGGTCCGTCGAATATGGGCAACCCTGTATATGTATATCACATTTTATAAGAGTTATAATTATTCCAAATTTTGACCCTTTGTGGAGAAGGAACTTGATTGAGTGGACCGATAATGTCCATTTTCGCACCTGACCTAGAACTGACGCAAATATTAGGATTTACAAAGTTGGAGCAAAATCGGATTATCGTTTCTCTTTCTGTGCAGAAAATATATTTTTTGAAAATTTAGACCTTTTGTAGGGGAGGTACAAGAAGGTTTGGACCAATATATTCCATCTTAACACTATACCTTAGGTTAATATAAATAGTGAGATGTGTGAAATGTGAAGACAATCGGACTCTTACCTCACATTCCATAAGAGATGTAATTAAATTTAAAATTTTGACACTTTCTGGGGAGGTATTTGAGGGAGTGGACCGATAATGTCCATTTTTCGCACCTGACCTAGAACTGACGCAAATATTAGTATTTGCAAAGTTGGAGCAAAATCGGATTATCGTTTCTCTTTATGTGCAAAAAATATATTTATTGAAAATTTCGACCTTTTGTGGGGGAGGTACCAGAAGGAGTGGACCAATATATTCCATCTTAACACTAGACCTTAGGTTAATATAAATGTGTAAAATGTGAAGACAATCGAACTCTTACCTGACATTCTATAAGAGTTGTAATTATTCAAAATGTTGACACTTTCTGGGGAGGTATTTGAGGGAGTGGACCGATAATGTCCATTTTCGCACCTGACCTAGAACTGACGCAAATATTAGGATTGGTATTTGAGGGAGTGGACCGATAATGTCCATTTTTGCACTTGACCTAGCACTGATGCAAATATTAGGATTGGCAAACCCAGATTATCCTTTCTCTTTATGTGCAAAAAATATTTTTATGGAAAAATTTGACCTTTTGTGGGAGAGGTACCAGAAGGAGTTGACCGATATTGCCCATCTCCGAACTCGATCTATGTTTGACAAAAATATTACGATGTACCAAGTTTGGACCAAATCGGATACTCTCTTCGAGAGTTAACGTGCGCACCAGCCACCCAGGGAGACAGACGGACGGGCGGACGAACATCGCTAGATCGACTCCAAATGTTCTGAAACGGATTTGGTCCAAAGAGACCTAGGGTCTAAAACCGTTATTTCGACTAGGCACGTTTTGCCCCTATCAAATGATATATACCCTGCCTTACCCCCTGGTAAACATTACCATCGTTCTCCACTAATAAACAAACGTTGTTGTTATAAAAACAACAATAAAGGGATAAAGCCAGACCATTTTGCAACAACAAAATACTACGGTATCCCGAACAAACAAGCCACACTGTTCTATATATACCCTCTCTAGCCATATGGCTAAGGGGAATAAAAATGCAGCCTAGCATAAAAAAACAGCATTTCAGTAAACATTCCTTATCTCAGCTCTTGCTTACCAAAACCTATATACATGCCATAGATTTTGGACGTGTCGTCATTCGGGACTATTTTTAAATTTTATGAGACTAATTTTTGCATATTTTTCTTTGGGAATAGTACTAAGATTTCAGGTCGATATTCCTCCCACGTTTCTCTAATTTAATAATTCATTAATTTTTTTTCATTATTTATTTTATTTTTTGCATAAATGTATGAAATTTTATTTATTTCTTTATATCGTTTTATACAAATACACTTAACTACAATTTATATATATTTTCTTGCGTTTTTATTAAAAAAGAGTATTGTGTTTTGTTTTTATATTTCTATTGTTCCGTTTTGTGTGTTTGAATTATTTATTTTTTTCATTTTTTTTTGAAAAACAACTTAAAAATAATATCACTATTAAAATTTCACAATATTTTTTTATTAATATTTTTTATTATTTGCATTCATCACTACTATAATTGTCTAATTTTGTAAATTTTGTTTAAAGGTCCAAAGAATGGGTTTTCGAGAAAAATTATTTCTAAAAAAAAAGCAAACTTAACAAAGACAGAATGTTAAAAAAATATATAAATTTTATAATATATATTTTTTTAAATATATTTACAATGAATATAAATTACAAGTGTAAGACAATTTAATGATGGGAGGTCAATGGCAAGGACATTTATCGTATGCATCTTTCAGTATGGATTTTTAAGGATAGCGAATTGTTGAATTTAGCAAATTTAAAGCTCTCATTCTTCGCAATGAAATTTCCTTAAAATTTTCTATGTAGCCTCCTCCACTGACCTTCCAATTTTATAATATTTTTCTATTTCATAACAAAAAAAAAAAAAAACTACAAATTACTTCAGAATGGATATGTTCGAGTCACAGAGAGAGATAGTAGTTTCTTTTTGTAGTACATTTTAACAATAGTATTCTAGAGAGAATAGTTTGATCTACAGCATATTAAATTCAAAATTCGGTATGGAAACTCTGTGCAGTATCAATCATTTTGGAGGTGAGAAAGATTTCAGCATTCGAGAGGATCTGAAAGAGAGAGAAAAAAACCAATGTTAAATTGAGAGTATTTATAAGAATATGTTAACCCTAGAAATTAACAGAAACATTTATATAACATTTCGGAATTCCAGCTCAATTTCTTGACCCAATACCAAACTTATTTTGTACTTTTAGTACAATTATGGTATACATTACCAACATCAACAGTAGCATTCATATCCAATTTTAGGATTTTACCTCTATTCCTTCAGCCAATGCCCAATTAAGTGTAACTTAGTACTTTTTGTACAATTATAGTACAAATTTCCAATAGCACCTCCATATCTCAATTGCAGATACCAACAGAGACCATAATATCAAATTTGAGGATTATCTATCCTATCCATTCACCAAGTAACAAAATTTAGTACAATTTAGTACTTTTTCAGAACTTTATCTTTATACCCAATTTAGTACCGCTTAGTACTTTTCGTACAATTATAGTACAAATTTCCGAAACCATCTCAATATCTTAGCCGCAGATACCAACAAAGACCTCAAATTTTAGCATTCCAGTCCTATCCTTTGACCCAACTCCAATTTAGTACTACTCAGTACTAAATTTCGAATAATTCGAATTATTTTAGTCTACATTTCTAAAACCACCTCCATATCTTAACCACAGATATTAACAGTGTCATCTATATCAAATTTCAGGATTTCTGCTCTATATTCCTTAACCTAGTACCAAATTTAGTACCATTTAGTACTTTTTGTAAAATTATAGTAGACTTTTCCAAAACCACATCTATGTCTCAATTCCAGACACCATCGGAGACTTCAATTTCAAATTCTAGGATTCCAGCCCTTGTATTTCTCCCTATACCCAATTTAGTACCACTTTGTACTTTTCGTACAATTATTGTATACATTTCCAAACTCATCTCCATATTGCAACCTCAGTCAACAGTAGTTATCAAAATATCAAATTTCCAGATTCCGGCCCAATCCATTCACCCAAAACCAAAATAAGTACCATTTAGTACTTTTCGTACAAATATAGCACACATTTCCGAAACCACCTCCATATCTCAATCACACACACCAATGGTAGCATCTGTATTAAATTTCAGGATTTCAGCCGTATTCCTTCCACAATATCAAATATAGTACCATTCAGTACTTTTAGTACTATTATAGTAATCATTTCCATTCCAGATACCGATAGAGACCTCAATATCAAATTTAAGGCTTCCAGCCATATCCCTTCATCCAATACCAAATTTAGTACCATTTAGTACTTTTCGTACAAATATAGAACGCATTTCTAAACAACCGCCATCGGTAATCTAAATATCAAATTTTAGAATTTTATATCCATCCTTTCACTCGATACCGAATTTAGTACTATAAAGTACTTTTGGTACAATTTTAGTATACATTTCCTAAACTACCTTCATATGTCCAGGCTACACACGAACAGCGACCCTAATACATAATTTCAGATTTCATGTATTATTTGTTCACCCTACATGAAATTGTACCATATATATTTCTATTTAGTACCTTTCGTACAATTATAGTATGCATTTCCAAAAATCACCTCCATATCTCAACTCCAAGTACCAACAGAGACCTTAATATCAAATTTGAGAATTCCAGTCCTTTACTTTCACCCAACACCAAATTTAGTACTATTTAGTACTTTTCGAAAAGTTATAGTACACATTTCCGAAACCGCCTCCACATGTAACCACAGACACCAACAGTGAGCTCAATAATAAATTTCAGGATTTCAGCTCTATTCCTTCACTCGATACCAAATATAGTATCACTTAGTACTTTTCGTACAATTACAGTACACATTTCCGAAACTATCTCTTTATCACAAACTTACCACCAATAAGCTTCATCCGTTCCCCCTAAACCAAACATTTAGTACAACTCGCAAACTGTGTACATATATAGGGTGAGGTGAAAAACCGCAACAAAGTCAAACGCCATAATTTTTAATTTTTGTTGTTGTTGCAAAATGGTCAGGCTTAATCCCTTTATTGTTGTTTTTATAAAAATGGTAATGTTTACCAGGGGATAAGGCAGGGAATACCTAGGTTTCGGAAAGAGCCACCAATCCTCATCAGTTCCCTTGTTTTTTGTCTGGAATATTCTCCCCTGAAGTTATTTAAAAATAACTTCTATGACAAAAACATTTTTTAACCAATTTTTTTTTTAAATTTTATTAACCGAAAGCAATAAAAAAAAATGTCGGAAATAGCATCAAATTTTAGAATAAGTTTAGAATTTATCAAATTGGTCAACTTTGGCACGAATAATGGCCTTCAAACGGCCAATGAAACCTCACACGTTGCACAAATGTTGCTCTGCGGTATTTTGTCCCATTCCCGGCGAAGCGCTTGCTTAAGGTGATCGACACTTTGGTATTTTTTAGTGCCAACTTTGCTTTCCAAAATACTCCAGACACAATAGTCTAACGGATTGGTATACGGAGATTTTGAAGGTCATTGTTCGCTGGAAATGAAGCGAGGAACCTCATTTTGTAACCATTCTTGGGTGGCGCGTACTGAATGGGATGGTGCTGATTCTTGTTGAAATGTCCAAGGTCTGCGGCCAAAATGTGTGCGAGCCTAAGGCTTTAATACACCCTCCAGAATATTTTCGCGATAATATTCTGCATTTATTCTTATGCCAAGGTCGATTAATACGAGCGGAGAGCGATCATCGGCTGTTATGGCGGCCCACACCATCACCATGGCCGGCGCTTAAGTTCTGGTTGCCAACCGAAGGTGCACATTTTCAGCTGACCTCTTTGGCAAGGTCATATGGCACGATCATTTTGTTTATTTACAAACTACTAAATAACGAATGTTTTCTCATCGAAGAAAACCAAATTCGGCTCACCACGTTCGGCCAAGCGATGCAACTCTTTAGCTCTTTTGAGTCTTTTTTCATTCGGTTGTGGTGTAAGTTCGTGCAATTTTTTGGAATTTCAATGGCTTTACCCCGAGCTCATTTTTCAATATTTGCCGAATGGAATATTGCGATATGTTCAACTCACGAGCCATTTTTCTCCCACTGCGACGCGGGTTTCGATCAAGTCGCTTCTTTACTTTTCGAACCATTTCTGCTGATGTTGCTGTTTTCTTCCGTCCACTTCCTTGACGTCGGCCTACGGCCTACCAGCATCACGGTAACGATGGTACGAGACACAAAAGATTTATTGACATTTAAATGCTGGAGTTGGAACCAAAGATAGCCACTTGTTGTTCTCCAGCCAAATATAAAGAAATCACGCTTGAATTCCATCACGAATAACTTTTTTTCTGGAAAATTTTCAGCAAAATGCTTTTGTACACTTGTAAACAATATAATGAGCTGTCACTGGAATACTTTTAGCGGCTGTTGGACGAGTTGCTTAGAAATGACAGCAGTCTGAAGTTGGTTGCAGTTTTTTCATCTCACTCTGTAGTCATATCCCTTCATCTAATACTAAATTTAGTACCATTCAGTACTTTTTTTTACAAATATAAGATTTATTTCCAAGCCACCGAAAGATCTCAAACACAGATACCATCAGAAATCTATAAATCAAATTTCAGAATTTTTTCTCTAACGCTACATCCAGAACCAAATATAGTACCATTCACTACTTTTAGTGTACCATCATTTCCGAAGCCCTCTCAATATGTCCAGGCTACACATGAACATCGACCCTAAGACCAAATTTCAGGCTCTATCTGTTTATCCAACACCAAATTGTACTAAATTTAGAAATATTTAGTACTTTTCTTACAATTTAGTACACATTTCCAAAAGCATCTCTTTATCACAAACCTATCGCAAACTGGGACCCCAATACAGAATATCAAAATTCCAGATTCATCGGTTCACCCCAAACCAAAACTGTTTCAAATTTTGTACCATTTAGTACAGTTTGCACATATTTAGTTAACATTTCCAAAGCCACCCTGATATATCAAACTTACTTTCCAACCTTGATTTTCATACCGGACTTCAAGTTTTTAGCTCTTTCCGTGCACATAATACCAAATGGTACCATTTTATAAGTTTAGTACCATTTGAGAACTTTTCGTAACCCTAAAAGTTGGAATTTCTAAATTTCCCTCTGGTACATCTATCCTGCATTCTATCAGTGACTCTCATTTCAAATTTGAGATTTTGAGCACTATCTGTTTACCCAATACCAAATTGTACTAAATATGGTACTATTTAGTACTTTTCGTGCAATTGTATTACAAATTCCCAACAGAATTTCTTTGCAATAAAGCTACCACCAACAGGGACCCAATACAAAATTTAAAAATTCGAGATTCATCTGTTCATCCTAAACTTAACTATTACAAATTTGGTACTATTTAGTACAGTTCGCACACTTAGTACATATTTCCCAAACCACTTTCATATATCAAACTTGCTTTCTAACCTTGGTTCTCATACCGAACTTCAAGTTTTTAGCTCTATCCGTGCATATAATACTAAATGGTACCATTCTCGAAATTTAGTACAATTTTAGAACTTTTCGTAACCCTAAAGTTGGCATTTCTAAATTTCTCTTTGGTACATCTATCCTGCACTCTATCAATGACTCTCATTTCAAATTTGAGATTTTGAGCACTATCTGTTTACCCAATACCGAATTGTACGAAATGTAGTACTATTTAGTACTTTTCGTGCAGTTGTAGTACACATTTCCAAAAATACCTCTACATCATAAACCTACCATTAACTGGGATGCCAGTAGAAAATTTCAAAATTCTAGCTTCATCTGTTCACCATAAACCAAACTGTTACAAATTTAGTACCATTTAGTACAGTTTGCACCCATAGTACACATTTCCAAAACCACCTTCATATATCCAACTTAATTTTCAATCTTTATTCTCATATTAAATTTCAATTTTTTTATCTCTATCCCTTCACGTAATACCAAATGGTACAATTTTGGATGTTTAGTACCATTTTAGAACTTTTCGTAACCCTGAAGTTGGCATTTCTAAATTTCCCTCTTGTACATCTATCCTGCACTCTATCAATGACTCTCATTTCAAATTTGAGATTTTACGTACTATCTGTTCTCCCGATGCCAAATTGTACCAAATATGGTACTATTTAGTACTTTTCGTGTAATTGTATTACAAATTCCCAAAAGAAATTCTTTGCAACAAAGCTACCACCAACAGGGACCGAATACAAAATTTAAAAATTCGAGATTCATCTGTTCATCCTAAACTTAACTATTACAAATTTGGTACTATTTAGTACAGTTCGCACACTTAGTACATATTTCCTAAACCACCTTTATATATTAAACTTAATTTTCAATCTGGATTCTCATACCGAATTTCAACTTTTTATCTCTATCCCTTCACATAATACCAAATGGTACAATTTTAGAAGTTTAATAGCATTTTAGAACTTTTCGTAACCCTAAAGTTGGAATTTCTAAATATCCCTTTGGTACATCTATCCAGCACTCTATCAATGACTCTCATTTCAAATTTGAGATTTTAAGCATTTTCTGTTCACCCAATACCAAACTGTACCAAATATAGTACTATTTAGTACTTTTTGTGCATTTGTATTACAAATTTCAAAAAGCATTTCTTTATGACAAAGCTACCACCAACAGGGACCCAATACAAAATTTCAGCTTCACCCGTTCACTCTAAACCAAACTGTTTCCAAATTTAGTACCATTTAGTACAGTTTGTACACACTTAGTACACATTTTCAAAACCATTTACAAAGATATAAATTTACTCTCCAACCTTGATTGATTGATTCTCATACCAAACTTCAAGTTTTTAGCTCAATCCGTTTACATAGTACCAAATTGTACCATTTTTAAGATTTTGTACCATTTTAGAACTTTTCGTAACCTTAAAATTCGAATTTCCAAAAACCCTTTGGCACATCTTTCCTGAACTCCACCAGTGTTTCTCAATGCAAAATTCAGATTTTAAGCGCTATATGGTCAATGCAAAATTGTACCAAACATAGTACCATTTAGTACGTTACTTTACCATTTTAGAATTTTTCGTAACCTTAAAGTTCGAATTTCCAAAATCCCTTTGGTACAGCTATTCTACACTCTATCAGTGACACTTATTCCAAATTTCAAAAATTCTAGCTCATTTCGTTTTTTAGTACTTCTCGTACCCTTTTAGTACGAATTTCCAAAAACCCAACCTTATCACATGCCTACGCATCAATACTGACCCCCGTGCAAAATTTTAGGATTGTAGCTTCAGTCGTTTTATCTGGGCGTTGATTCTCGATCAATCAGTCAGTCAGTTATTTCACTACTCGCTTATGTATATAGATTTAGTACATTTTAGTACTTTTCGTACCCTTTTGGTGCGATTTTCCAACAATTTATCCACATTCAAAAACTCAGACAAATATTTCAAAACTTTTGGTACATTTTGTACACTTCCATATCAAACCTCTGAAATGTCCTTCCAGTACTGGTTTTTTTACTTTTCGTACATTTTCAGTTCAAACCCCCATATATCTCTTCATATCGAAAGCCTTTTCCGGAAAAGCATCCCTCATTCTGACTCCTCTACCATAAATCGCCAAAACTTTCACACCTTACCTCCCTTCCCACCCTACCCCTTCACTCACCTCTTTCAGCGTCAGCTTGCCATTACGATCTTCATCGCACAAACTGAAAAGCGTTGCCGCTTCCTGCAGGGCATAACGTGGCGTCTTGGGATTCACATAGTTCAACAACTCTCCACGATCTGCTTTGCCGTCTTGATTCTTATCAATGATTCTCTTAAATTCCTCTCTCCTCTCTACAACCGTTTTCGATATCAACGATTTTCGTATCAGATCATCATCATCGGCCACATTCACCTCCGAAAACTCTTCTATGCTCAACTGATCGTCACCATCCTGATCAAATTGCCTTAGTAAATCATCGACAAGCTCCAAGAGATTACTTATACTTGATTCGGGATGACGAAACGAGAGATACTCATCAATGGTGAGCGTGAAGAGATCAGTGCGGGCTGCTTCCGACCAACGGGCCTTGTCACGCATCATATCTTCTCGAGCCTTACGATTCAAGGCGGTGTGTTTTATTTCGTTGTGCTCATCGATATCGGCCTCCGTCATGCCATGCTCTTTGAGAAAATAACGATGATATTCTTCCCAGGTTACCAGACCATCAGCGGGGGATATGTCAACACGACGAAATTCTCGAGGATTCAGTTGTATGGCTTCATCAATGTGATCCACAATGTTCTTGTTGATATATTGTCCCAACTCTTTGATGGTCAGGAAGTTGTCGTGATTGCGATCGGCTCTGCAAAAACAAAAGAGAAATTGAAAAATTCAATAAATGAAAATCATTCAGAATGTGAAAAATAATACGTCTTCGAACCATGTTCTTTGATGGGCATGAAAAGTGAAAAACACATTTCATATTTTCTCAGAATAAAATCTAGGTGAAATCCGATATTTTTGTGGTCTCAGGGGGTCACCTCATCTATGAATATAACGGTACAACATGTGCTATAATTTTTTCAAATATTCAATTGGAAAATATGCCCAAAACCCTTGCGATAACAAAAATCAGGGTTTATATAAGTGTTGAAGATTACATTGAAATGTAATCAAAATAGATGGGGCAAAATACCCCCCCCCCCCCCCCCCCTTCCACAGGTTTAGATACTTTTGGAATTAAGATTCCTCGGAATCTATGCCTTTTAGATGTGGCGTGTCATGGGCAATATTGCAGATAAAAATACGAAAAATATTTTATTCAAAGATTTTAACCCTCAAGCGAGCCTAGAAAGGGGTTTTTGTTGCTCCTTTTTATACCCCGCACAACAAGGTGATCAGGGTATTATGTCTTTATGCATTTGTTTGTAACAGGCTAAAGGAAACGAGATAGACCTATAGTTCCGTTTGATGATCTGCATAAAATCACATTCTGATCCGATTTCTGCATGTCCGTCCGTCCGTCCATATATTCTTGTGAAAAAAATGCAGGACGCATTTATTATCTGATAGAGATGAAATTGTGCAAATAATATTTGTTTGGCCAAAGGACAAACCCTATTGAAATTGGTGAAATCAGATAAGTCTAGAAGCAAATTTGGTGAAAATCGGTTCAGCTCCCATATGTGTTTCATCCGATTTGGTGTTTAAGTCCCTCCCAGTATCAGTAAGTATCAGATAAAGCCCAGAAATACCTCTGCCAATTTTTATCAAGATCGGTTCAGATTTAGATATAGCTCCCAAATATCTTCAACCGATTTCGGCTTAGTTATGCATCAAATGGCCAATATAAGTCCAAAAGACCTGAATTTTTGGCACACCCAACCGAATTCAGTCTAGAAGCAATTACACCAAATTTAGTGAAAATCGATTCAGATACAGTTATTGCTCTCGATTTGGGGCTTTAAGCCCCTTACGGGCGAGATATATATCCCACAAGAATGATGTTTGGAATCAGATATACAGAAATACCTCCGCCAAATTTAATCAAGATCGGATCAGATTTGTATGTAGGTCCCATATATATGTTGAACCGATTACGGGTTAATGGTGCACCAAATGCCATTATCAGTCAAAAAGTCCTGAGTTTGGGTACATTCGACCGAATTTAGTCTAGAAATAAGTGGATCGAATTCGGAAAAAATCGGTTCAGACATAGCTATAGCTTCCATATACAGGGTGAGATAAAACAAGTAAAAAGCAGTAAGTTCTGCCGGGCTGAACTTTGAATACCCTCCACCATTTGGAACGAATTAGAAAATTTTCAAAAAATAAAATCCATTAAAAATTCTTTTAAAATCTTTAAAATATCTAATGCCGATAAATGGGGGATATACGATATTGTGGACCTATATAGACAATTACCTTTCAGGGGTTAAAGTGCTCACAAAAAACTCCTTTTGTGGATTTTCAGACAATACCATAGGAAAATATGGCTAAAATCATCAAAATACCGAATATCGGAGGTACCGTTATATGGGGGATATACGATATCGTTAACCTCTCTGTCAGGGGGTAAAGTGCTCACAAAGAACCTCTTGTGTACAATTTCAGACAATTCAGTTGAAAAATGTAACTAAAATCATAAAAATACCGAATATCGGGGGGTACCGATATCGTGGACCTATATAGATAATTCTCTTCCGAGGTATAAAATACCCACAAGGTACTCCTTGTATGGATTTTCAGACAATTCCGTTGAAAAATGTGGCTAAAATCATCAAAATACCGAATATCGGGGGTTACCGTTAAATGGGGGCTATACGAAATCGTGGACCAATATAGATAATTCTCTTCCAAGGGATAAAGTACCCACAAGGAACTCCGATTAATACAAGCGAACGGTCGATTAATACAATGTAATGAGTTGTCACTGGAATAATTTTAACAGCTGTCGGACGAGTAGCTTAGAAATAACAACAGTCTGAAGTTGGTTGCAGTTTTTTCATCCCACCCTGTATAACCCAAAAATGCACGGATTTCAAGGAATCTAAATCCGAAGATTCCCAAAAGTGTCCCCTCTATTCAGGTTACTTTGCGATGCATATTTTCCAAGCACCGATATACGTTCCTACTTTCATAATCTGCTAGATTCGGGGGGATTTGTAATGATTTTTATGTTTTCCACGGCGTAATCTATATTCCTTGACCATCTAGTACATTCCAGCTCAATCGATCGCTATATTTCTATCAAATTTCAATCTAGTTTGAAAATGGACTAACTTTTTCGATACCTCTACAACGAACGTCAGGCATCGAGGGAGTATATTCTTCGGCAAAAATACACAGATTCTTATTTTCATATTTTAACTAAAATTCATTAACTTCTGTTTCCTGATAATGTTCTCCCCGTTTGCTTTCATATACTCCGACGGAAATTCAACACCAAACAACCTTCAGCTTATTACCCATCATTTGCAACGCACAAAATCCTTATCCTTAAATAAAAAAAACCTCAAAAACTAAAAACTCAACCAAAAAAAAAAAAAAAAAAAAACAGGACGGATCTTTAATTCGAAAAGTTTTGCCATGTGGTTGGGATGATAAAAGACTAAAAGTTAGTTGGCTCCCCGAGTAAAGTTAAGGGAGGCGCTCAGTTATAATTAACCGCAACATCGCCGCTACAAGCATCAGACGCTAGCGCCAAACAATAAATTACTGCGAACTTTATAATTATTTGGGATGTAAGGATGTATGTGGTGGCGGTGATGGTGGTGATGTTGTGTGTGGTCGGAACTACAGGTGTTCATGTGTACATGCACATACACATGTACATACTCTCTTATACAGCTGTGGTATCTCATTAATGAGCAGACTTAGTCTTAAGTCAATATTTGTGATATTTGTAGACTTCGTTATCTAATTTTAAAAAGTTTGCAAGGCTTTCTTACATGATCTATATTGTCATGGGACCAAACATAATTTCTGAGACCAAACATAATTTCTTATAAAAAAATATGAAATTTCTGAAGGTTTGCCTTATGTGGAGAATTTATATTCCCTATTCGTTAGATTCAAAAAAAAAAAAAAAAAAAAAAGAGAAAAAAACATAAAATAAATAAATAAATAAAAACAAGTTAAAAAGCAGTAAGTTCGGCCGGGCCGAACTTTTAATACCCTCCACCATTTGCAATGAATTTGGAAATTTTTAAAAAATAAAATCCTTAAAAAATTCTGTTAAAGTTTTAAAAATTGCGAATATAGCCGTTATATTGGGGTCTATACGACGTGGACCTACATAGGTATTGCTTGTCATAAGTCATTACCATATTCAAATTCGAAACTTGAAATAAACGGTGAATAATGTAGCTAAAATCATCAAAATACCGTACATAGGGAGGTGCCGTTAAATTGGAGCTGTGCGAAGACCTGGACCAGCATAGATAATTTTCTGTCACAGGCTGTAGCATCCATTACGAACTTCAAATACCACATCTCAAACAATTTCGGTGGGTATTGTACCTAAAATCGTCAAAATACCGAATATAGGGAGGTACTGATATATGGGGCTTGTACGAAGACGTGGATCCGCATAGACAATTTTCTGCACAGACTGTAATTCCCATAACGAACTTCAAATACCATTTTTGAAACAATTCCGGTGAATAATGTCGCTAAAATCATCAAAATACCGAATATAGGGAGGTACCGTTATATGGGGGCTATATGAAAACGTGGACCTACATAGCCCATTTACAAACTTAACCTGCCTACTGGAAAAATAAACATGTGTGCAAAATTTTAGCCATCTATCTCAATTCATTCGAAAGATAGCGTGATTAAAACAGACAGACGAACATCGCTAAATCAACTTAGAATTTTACGCTGATCAAGAATATATATACTTTGTTGGGTCTGATATGAGTATTTCGAGGAGTTACAAACGGAATGACAAAGTTAATATAGCCTCCATAGTATGGTGGAGGGTATAACAAGTAACCAAAAGCTATAGTCGTGCGGGGCCGACCATGTGATACCCTACAACACTACAATATGTTGGAAGCCCCCTTATGTCCAAATTAGTTTTGGAAGAGTTCGATATTAAAATAATGTCATAGAGGCCTGCCCAGATGTTACCCTTATTTACGCACTCCGCCGGGTTGTTATGTATTCGAAAAAAAAGCCATGGTCCATGATCCAGCTAAGTATAATTCAAGAATCATTCAATATGCTCGACTTCTTGCCTCTTTCAGGTTCCATGGTCCATTTGAACCTCTGAATTTAAATCTCCATAACAGTAGGCTTCAAGCATTTTTTTGTTTTTGGTCCATTTCAACCCCAAAAACAATAGGGTTCTATTCTGAACCTAACCCCACCTCAATTTTCAATTTCGTGGGAATCGGGCCATAATTGCGACCTGTTGCTTGATTACAAATTAACATGAACAGACGGACATACTGACGGACGGATATACATAGATAGATTGACTCAGATCGGCGAGCTGGGAAGTTCCAAATATTCTTTCCTATGTGGGAAACCAATATTTCGAGGTATAACATAATTTTTGGCACAATCAAACTTATAATACCCCCAAAACATAGTGTTGTAGGGTATAAAAAATAAAATAAAATAAAAATATAAGTATCAGTCGGTATTGGCGACAGATTTATACCCTCAACCAATGTCCAATTAGTTAAATATATTTTGACTCCTGATATGATTACTAAAATTGTTAACCCACCGATGGAATGGGCCAATATTGTCCATTTCGTATCGGACCTAAATAAATATGTGATCATTTTTAGAAAAATTTTGAAATGTGTGTGAGGTACTATACAGAGTCGACCGAAGTATTCCATTTTC